ATCAAACTTAGATCGTGTTCGCAGATGAGCAATATCGGTCCACTTCTTCTGGTACCTCCCTCACAAAGGATCAAAATTTTGAATATTCATAAAGATCATAAAACACGAAATTAACATCCGATTCCATTCAGACTCGGTACATCTCAATATTTCCATCAACACAAGATCTGTTATAAAGATCGGACCACATCTTCTGGTACCTCCGCCACAAAAAGTAAACATTTTGAATTTCCTTGAACTCAAAACACGCTAAATTAACATCCGATTTTATTCAAACTTGGTGCATCTCAATATTACCATCAACACAAGATATTTTATAAAGATCGTAGAGATCGGACCATTTCTTCTGGTAACTCCCGTACATAGGGTTCAAGACAAAACGAACAATGAAATCAAAATAAGCATCCAACTCTCTTCAAATTTCAAAAATTTTGCTAACGCAAAATCTGTTGTGAATGATATATATCTGCGAACCCCTTCTGGTACCTCACCCACAAAGGGTCATAATTTTCAATACTGTTATCTTTCATAACTTGCGAAACAAGTCAGCGATTCTTTACAACTTGCTATATCTGAATATTTCTCTCAACCAAAAACCTGGGATGAACATGGAATTTGTGATTTCGGCCATACCAATATTTTGATCGGTATTAGATGAAGTATGAAAATGGAATACTTCGGTCGACTATATCTGCTACTTCACGCACATTTCAACATTTTAGAAAATTAACACATATCTCATATCCAGTGAAGGAAGTAACCAATATGGGCCAAAACTGTCACGTCGCAATATTTATATCAGATTTACTTAGGCGCTATACGAAATGGACAATATTGGCCTATTTCCTTCGGAACCTCCATAGAGAGAACAAATTTTTTTAGTCTATTTTTATTGAATGCATAGTTGTGCATATTTATTCTCGGTTTTTAGATGTAATAAACACTTGTATTTTGTTATAAACCAAAAAATATGTTTTAAGTTAATCATATATTCTTTTCCGATTTTCACAAATAAAAATGCCGTTGAACCTGATTTTTTTCTGAAAAATTGACGATTTTTCTTGAAATTTTGTTGGCAGCCCTGGATCAGCCGCAAATAATGGTCTTAGCCGCATTACAAAGGCAATCGGCTGTTTTTGGAATTGTCATGTTCTGCGATGGTGAAAACTTCCTGAAAAATTGTTTCATTTTAATTAAAGTCCACCACATGTACATTCGAACCACCGGAACTTTTCTATTTTTTTAAATTTATTTATTATACTGTTAACTGTTGTACGGTTACCAAATACTGTGCCGCTTTTAACTTATTGTTAAACCAGTCACAAAACGCCGACATCATCATCGCACACACAATGACCTTGTCAACAATGTGCTTCTCTTTTTTCTGCCGTTTCGCCGAATCGATGTTGTCTATGACAGCCACTGCTTCGTCGTTGGATGTGAATGCGTTAGCCATTTGTTTGTTTGGCAGACAATTTCAACAATTTTTGGCCAGAGAGAAAGAGATATGGTATGCATACGTATGTATGTGTTACTGTGCCTGTTTGTCGTTTATTTATTTAAGAAATGGACTGTGAATGATCTGCCCAGTAAATTTACTTAGAGCCGAGTGTGAGGTGTGGTATAGTGATGCTGTTAGGCATTTTACCAATTTCGGCAAAACGAAACTGTGTAGGCTTTCTTTGTGGAGCAGTTATTTTTTGTAGCTGTTATCTTTTTTGGAAGAAAATGTGCTTCTTGTTTATGGTATTCAAGTCTCGTATGCGTACAGCTCATCACCAGCATTCGTCAGGTTCGGAACGAGTCATTGTTTTTTTTTTGGCTATGCAGGAATGTATGTAGATTTTGACGAAAAGGTTGCCACCAAAGTGGTTTTATAAAACAAAATACTACAAAAATAAATAAAACAATGTAGAGGAACAATATCGCCACCCAAGAATATTCAATTGTTGTTGTTGTTGTTTTTCTTATTCATTGATTTGCGAAAGATGTTTTATATTTCATAGCAATATTTTGACAATATTTTTTTCTTATATTTATACGTGCGCAAGGTGTGTTTGAATGCGTAACCGCCAACGCATGAAGTGGGTATAAGTTCATATCTACAAGCCATTAAAGTTAAATTCGCCCGCCTGTCATAATCGAAATTTTGAAATTGTGCCAAGGTATTAAAATATGTACGTTTTTATGATGTCTGCTAGCATTTCACTTTTAGAGATGCTGTTGAATGATTCATTGTCTGAAACATGACGTCTGATGGGTATAAAATTAAATGACATGTATTTACTTTCTTTTTATAGCTGCAATATAATATAAGAAATCAATGAACTTTAAATTTGCAGTTCTGCAGAATACGTTTTTAGAACAATCGATCTTTCTTTTAAAAGCTGGCATGCAACAAGTATGATTTTGACAACGATACATATTTTTGAGTCAGTATTTTTAAATACACACAAAATGTATTATTTGCGCCTTTTATTATTTTGTATTTTGGGAGAAATATTTTATAAGATACCAGCAAGTGCCCGCTACTTCGTCATCGAAAAGTCCAGCCTTAAATTTTAGAATCGTTTTTTGTTCATTATTTTTTGAACAAAATTTACAAACAAACTTTATGCATCGTACTAAGTATTCGGCTGTACTAGTTCGATAACACTTTATTAGTATTCAGGGTTTTCCTTTATCGAAGGGGATAATCGAAAAATGAATACTTTTTTCCACAAAAAGTCTTCAAAATAGTTTGTTTTGAAGTTTACCGAAAAGCACATTAGTTAAACTCCTTCTATCATCTCATAATAACAAATGACACCACCAAATTTAAATTTTAGAAAAAAAAAAACAGTGAACTCAATATTAAATTTCAGGATCTATCCATTTACTCAACGGCGAATTTAGTATAATTTTGTACTTTTCGAACAATAATAGTAGCATTCCCAAATCCAGCCAAACTATATTCCAACAGTTCCTTCCTTACCAAATGACAACAAAATCACAAATCACCAACCTTGCTTTCCAAAATACTCCAGACACAATAGTCCAACGGATTGGTATTCGGAGATTTTGATGGCCATTGTGCAATGAAGCGAGGAACTTCATTTTATAACCATTCTTGGGTGGCGAGTGCTGAGTCCTGTTGGAATATTCAAGGTCTGCGGCCAAAATATTTGCGTGCCCAAGATTTTAATAAACCCTCCAGAATATTTTCGCGATAATTTTGTTTGTTTACAAACTGCTGGACAACGACTTCACCACTTTCGGCCAAGCGAAGCAAGTCTTTAGCTCGAGTTCAATTTTCCATATTTGCCGAATGGAATATTGTGATGTGATGTTTAGCTCACGAGCCATTTTTCGGCCACTGTGACGCGGGCTTCGATCAAGTCGCTTCTTTACTTTTCAAACCTTTTCTATCACTATCACGCTTGAATTCCATCACGAATAACTTTTTTTCTGGAAAATTCTCATCAAAATGCTTTTGTACAATTGTAAAAAATATAATGCACTGTCACTGGAATAATTTTAACAGCTGTTGGACGAGTGGCTTAGAAATGACAGCAGTCAGAAGTTGGTTGCAGTTTTTTCATCTCACATATACACTTTGTTCTTTTCCTACAGTTTAAAAACCAATTTTCAAAATAATCTCTATTAACAGTGGCCTCAATATCAAATCTCAGGATTTCAACTCTTTAATTTCCAAATATTGTACTATTTAGTACAATTATATTATATATATTACGCATATTCAAGATCAGCTCCTTCTCTCAACCACAACTTTATAAACATCCAACAGTGACATCCATATCATTTCAGGATTTCAGGTTTTATTCCTTCACCCAATTTACTACCACTTAGTACTTTTCGAACAATTATAGTACCAAAACCACCTCCATACCACATAATCACAAATACCAACAGTGATATGAATATCACATAACAGGATTTTAGCTCTATTCCTTCATCCAATAACAAATTTAGTACTTTTCGTACAATTATAGTACACATTAGACCACAGACGAAAACATTAACATCTATGTCCAATTTAAGGATTTCTGCTGTACTCCTTAACCCAATTCCAATCTTAGTACCATATTACCACCGCCAAATCTCAAACAAAGACACTATCAGAAACCCAAATATTAAATTTAAGAATTTTATCTTTGTCCCTTCACTCAGTACCAAAAATAGTACCATTCGGCAATTTTCGTATATATGTAGTACGCATTTCCGAAACCACTTTCTTATGAACAGCTACCCTAATACCAAATTTCAGATTTCTATAATTATCTGTTCGCCCAATATAAAATGTTTCTAAAACCAGCTCTTTATAACAAACCTACTACCAACTGGGACCCCAATACAAAATTTCAAGATTCCTCAGTTTTTCCAAAAAATATTATAGTGGTACACGTTTCTGAAATCAGCTCTTTACCACAAACCTACTACCAACAGTGACCCCAATACAAAATTCTGTTCTAAATTTTCAAGATCTGTTCTAAAATTTAGTGCACAGTTACAACACATTTCACCTTACTTACTTGATTCTCACAAGAAAATTGTATAGTTCTACCCGTGAATATATTACCAAATGGTGCCATTTTAGAACTTATCGTAACCATTCGGATTTCCGAAACCCTTTGTTGCATCTTTACTGCACTTTATTTGTTACTCAGATTCCGAATTTCAGAATTCTAGACCAACGCAAAGTATTACATTTTTAGTACATTTTAATACGAATTCTCTATGAAATCCTATTCTAAATGTCTACTTATTCTTTGCAGAAAATGTACATTGGTCTTTTACGCAAAGCTAGACCACTTAATTCGTCAAGATAATGTTGTTACCACCATCTGAGCCAAAATATCAGATAATGTCAGGATTACACAATTTTTTCTAAAAACTATAATTACTTTTTAGTTTCGCCTATGTGTCGAACAAAAATATTACTAACTTTTCAAAAATTCAATCTTAAAATCTAATTATAATATTTTCTTCTTCTCTTGCAGAAAATACAGCGCTTTGATATAACGTTGTTAACAAGTGTAAGTATGAACTCTTATTGACTTATATTAATGTTACAGTAGGTATCTATTTTTAGATTTAATTCAAAGTCAATAATGAACAATGTTGTCATCAATATGGGAAGGTTACATATATGTAAAGAAGGTCCAACATTTGTTGAAAATAGGGGGATTTTATGTACTAAAATAACCCCAACTATGTGCATATGAGCTATACTAAATTATTATTAATTCGCTTCATAATCTCAGAATGGTCATGCACATACATATCATATAGAATTTCCATCGATGGTTTAGCTTGTCATAAAAATTCTCCTTTAATATAGCTTTCTTTCATGTTTTTATATCCGGAAGTTTGAACATCTTGCATACTCATATCGCCAAGAAAGTTTAATTTTAGAACAATTTTAACGCTTCGCCAGACAGTTATTTCTTCTCATGTATAAGAAATTTATTCTCAGCCGCTTCTTTTCATTTCTCATATCTTGGGAGTTATCAATTGTGGTTTTGCGTTGTCGTTGTATTTTGATCTTGTTTCTGTACTTTTTAATGAAATACTCTTTATGGTGATGCCGCCATCCAATCATCAAAGGCCATATCTTAAATATAACAATTGCTCTACTCTTGAGAATCGTATGAAATAACCTTGGGTGCTGTGGGAAATCATTGCACTTGCACTTGTTTAAGTATTTAATTTAAGTTTCCTCGTTTTCATTTAATTATAGAAGGGATAACGATGGTTTTTTGAATTTTTTTTACAAGTCCGAACTATTGTAATGGACCCCCTATCTTAGGATGAACTTATAATAATAATAATAATGTAATACAAAACACGAATAAAATCGTTTCCCTGTTTTTTGATGTATTTGTTTCATACATAAACCACTTTAACTTTGATATTTGTTAACCGAAAAATAAGAAACAAGCTAAAAAGCAGTAAGTTCGGCCGAGCCGAACTTTGAATACCCTCCACCATTAGAACAAATTTGGAAATTTTCAAAAAATAAAAACAGTTAAAAATTCTGTTAAAATCCTAAAAGTACCGAATATGACCGTTAAATTGGGGTTTATACGACGTGGACCTACATTGCTGTCATAAGCCATTGCCGTTTTCAAATTCGAAACTTGAATAAACGGTGAATAATTTAGCTAAAATCATCAAAACACCGTACATAGGGAGGTACCGTTATATCGGAGCTAAACGAAGACCTGGACTTGCATAAACAATTTTCTGTTATAGCCTGTAGCATCCATTACGAACTTCAAATACGACATCTCTTACAAATTCGGTGAGTATTGTACCTAAAATCGTCAAAATATCGAATATAGGGAGGCAGTTATATGTGGTATAGGCCCCCCACAAAGTCCTGGACCTGCATAGACAATTTTCTGTCATAGGCTGTAGTATCCCTTTTCGACTTCGAATACCAATTCAAAATACCGAATATCGGAAGGTACCGTTATATGGGGGCTATACAGGAACGTGGACCTGCACAGTCAATTTTCTGCCATAGACTGTAGTATCCACTAAGAACTTGAAATACCAAATTTGTATAATGTCGCTTAAATCATCAAAATACCGAATATCGGGAGGTACCGTTATATGGGGGCAATACGAAGACGTGGACCTGCATAGACAATTTTCTGTCGTAGGCTGTAGTATCCCTTTGGGACTTCGAATACCAATTCAAAATACCGAATATGGGGAGGTACCGTTATATGGGGGCTATGCGAAGACATAGATCTGCACAGACAATTTTCTGTCATAGGCTGTAGTATACATTACGAATTCCAAACACCAAATTTGAAATTATTCTGTTGAAAATGTCGCTAAAATCATGAAAATACCGAATATCGGCGGGTACCGTTATATGGGGGCTATACGAAGATGTGGACCTGCACAGACAGTTTTCTGTCTTAGGCTGTAGTATCCATTACGAACTTCAAATACCAAATTGAAACAAACTCGGTGAATAATGTCGCTAAAACCATCAAAGTACCGAATATAGAGAGGTTCCGTTATATGGGGGACATACGAAGACGTGGACCTGCACAGACAATTTTCTGTCATAGGCTCTAGTATCCATTACGAGCTTCAAATGCGTAATTCGAAACAATTCCGGCAAATAATGTTATCATGTCTGCGGCCAAAATATTTGCGTGCCCAAGGCTTTAATACACCCTCCAGAATATTTTCGCTATAATATTCGGCATTTATTCTGATGCCACGGTCGATTAATATGAGCGGAGAATGACCATCGGCTGTTATGGCCGACCACACCATCACCATGGCCGGCGTAGAAATGACAGCAGTCTGAACATGGTTTGCAGTTTTTTTTCATCTCCCCTTGTATACATTTGCTCGAACACCGTCTAAAGCTCTCGAAATTGTTATTGTTTACGTTCGAACGAATATGGTTTCATTTTAAAATTTTACTTTTAACACATAAACCCCTCTTCTTATTGTCATTGACGACCTTAAAAGAATAATAAATAAATAAAACCAATAAAATGAAATTGAAACACAATTTGTTTATTTACCAATAAATAATGAAAATCATTCAGGTGTAACATGCGTCGCCGATAACTTACAACGGCATGCTACAAAGATGGTGATATTGTGCCATAAAGCTGAAACACAAAGGAACTGATGGCTCGAATCTAAATTGGAACTAAGTAATGAATCTTTTATGGCTGGCTAATGGTGGTTACTTATGTTGCGACAGAGCCATAACGCAACAGAGTGTTCTCCTTCGTTTTAAAATGTCTCTTCAAAAGTGAAATTTGTTTTTATTTTTCTGCTTCTCGGAATATTCCTCATGCTTTGATGAGGTTCATGATTTTATTATTTACAATTGAATGCCTTTGAGTGCTGTTGAGGTAAATCGCAATAATATTTTATTTCTTTTTTCGTTCGGTTAATAAAGTTCAGTTCTTTTTGATATAAGAAACCAATATAATCATCAATATTTAATATTTCCAAACGATTGAACAAGTCGTTTGAAGTGAGTGAATTGGAACGAAGAAATACGTTATTTTTTTATAAAAATAAATATTTTTTTTCATTCCTCTGTGATTTAATTTATAAATGATTGATTTTAAGTTTATTTCTAAAAAATTGGTATTTTATTATTTTTAGTATGCGGATTTTCCAAAAAAAGAAGTGTAATGCCTTTACATGATTATTGTAGTTGCAATTTTAAGTGCGCAATATGCTAATAGCACCAGAACATATTCTAATGCTTATTTTAAAAATTACACAGATGTTATTGTAATTAGTTCGTATTTTGCATAGAAATTAGTTCATTACATCTACGAGCAGACACCGAAGCTTTTAAAAATGTAACGAAATTTCAGTAACAAGGGAACTTGTCAAAAATCTGTTTTGTAGCAGTGCAGGAGCTCATTGACACTGCATTACTCCTTTTTGGTATAATTGGTCTAACATAATTACTATGAGGCTACATCCTGCTCCCGATAGCCTTCTGTATGCCAGTGGTTGAAGCAAAACTCTATTATGATGTGCAATTATATTTTGTAAAGGTAGAATTGCAGACATTTGATGAAATTTTAGATATACCCCTGGTTTAGGAAGTCTGATAGCTCAACATATTCCAGAAATAAATGCAATGGTCATAGAATGGAGCAACACACATTCATTTGGTTTTCTCTCTACACTAGTTCATGTGATTGGATATGTGTGGTGCAAGTATTTTCTCATTTGTGGTCATTCATATGCAAACGAGCAACCCAAAAAAAAGCGTTACATCAAAATGAAGCAAATTTGCTTACATATGAATATGGAAACATTTCCAGAATTGTTATGGCCGTTTGTTTTAGTTATGGCCATAATGATTTTTGGTTTGTTTACACAATTTTGCTTGCATAAATTCGGATTATATTTTGGTATTTGTGGAAATATCGTTAGTTGGTTGGTTATGGTAAATAGTTGGTAGTAGTAGAACTAATATAGCGGTGGCCTATATATGGAAGCAACCTATATAGAAATTTCGTAAAATCTCTAAGCATGGGTCCCAGACCACTAAGAACACATTTATTATATTAAGTTCGTCATTCCATTTGTGACCTATCGAAATAATAATTTCAGACATAACAAAGTACATATATTGTTGATCAGTATATATTTTCTTGATCAATATATATATTCTTGATCAGAATATTTAGCTCTGTCGGTCTGTAGAGTCACGGTAGTGTCAAACGAATAAAGATAGGAAGTTAAAATTTGCTCCGATCAGTCCTTTTGTCTGCAGGCAGGTCAAGTTCGAAGATGGCAAGTATCGGCCCACGATATCGTATGGCCTGCCCCACACCAAATGATGATTGCATCCAAATTTGTCAATGAAATTGCCTGAAAATCTACAAAAGGAGCTCCTTCTGAGTACCCTAGAAGAGTATTGTCTATATAGGTGCACGATATCCCATATCCCCCCAATGATTCCTCCCTATATTCGGTATTTTGATGATTTTAACTACATTTTTCAATTGAATTGTCGAAAAATCCATACTAGAAGTTCTTTTAAGCACTTTACCACCTGGAAGAGAAATTTCTATATATGTCCACTATATCGTATAGCCCACATTTCGTTTTGAGTAATGGGAAACTACTATGACAGTCTATGACAGAAAATTGTCTATGCAGGTCCATGTCTTCGCATAGACCCAAGTATCAGTACTTTCCTGTATTCGGTATTATGACGATTTTAGTGCAATATTCACCGAAATTGTTGGAAATTTCGTATTTGAAGTTCCTAGTAGGTACTACAGCCGGTGACAGAAAAAATATAACGGTACCTCCCTATATCCGGTATTTTGATGATTTTAGCTACATTATTTACCGGATTCGTATTTGAACATGGCTGGAACAATGGCTTATGACAAAAGTTGCCTATGCAGGTCCATGTCTTCGTATATACCCCAATAGGGTAAGTGTACCAGTAGTCGGCACTTTTAGGATTTTCGCGTTTTTAATCGCTCACCATTCTGAGTGGAACTTTTCAATT